AAGGGAGAAACTTGTACAAGCTTAACTTAAAGAACCGAAAAGCAGATGAAGAAGGAGAACAGATACAGGCAAAGACAGACATAAATATCCATCAATAGGTTGGTTTTCGTGATAATCTCTCAAATTCAATTTTTCTGTTTGCATTTCATATAGTAAACATTTTAAAAATTTCGTGTCAAACCCCGGGGAAACGGAAAATTGTGCGTCACCTCTCTTATCCAACCTCCTCGATAAAAATAACTTCGACCTCAAGAGGAGCAAGCAAATGGCCGTTTAGTGAGTAATTTATTGCATTGTATCCAATGGAACAACTCTACACAATAACAACTGGTATTGCATTTTGAATGACAAAGAGTGGGATAATTGTTTTTCCTTTTTTTAACTGGTGTTTAGATTAAAAATAAAAAGTAAAGATATTTTGACCATGTTTCTAACAAGAAAGACATGAACTGATATTTGAAAGTAAAATAAAACAAGAGGGAAATAATAATATGTTCCATGGCGAGTCCAAGGTTATTTCCCTGAGTGTCTTACTTTCAGTTTATGATAGAAATGGTAGTCAAAGACTAACAACAAGGTTAAGAAATTAACTAAAATTTGTTCTCTGATTGAAATTCGTGTTGCACTCCAGACTTAGAGGAAGTAGTAGAGAACGGGTACAAATCATTCCTATCCACAAATTCTTCCGAGATTATGTGAACACGAAGCGCTAACAAAGAGGATCCCAGCGGATAATTGAGTGGCAATCCACACAAAGCCAAGAACTTCTGGTGGCCTAAAAAGTTCATTAAGGTATCGAATTCGACCCTTCAAAGATTGCTAAGAACCCTGGAAAGCGCTCCTTGGCTAAAAAGATTTTCAACTCTATGTGGGGAAAACTTAGGGGTTAGACCCAGGTGTAAGAATTGAACGAACCCCGTAAATTCAGTGAGTTCGACGAAAGTGACAAGTATATCCGGTACTGACGTCATCCCCATGCCGGAGAGAAGTTCATTTCATACACGAGACGGAAGACGATCCTTTTTCACTTAACCTGGAAATCTTTGTTTCAACACGTATTGGACCCATCTTTGTCTCTACGATGCTATGGATGTGCTACAAGAACGTGTCCTGTTCAATGATACAGACAGTGTCATCTTCTCGACCCTTCCCAGAGAATCAAATCCTCCTTCGGTAACTTTCTCGGAGAGTTTAAAGACCAGCTTCCGACACCTACATTATGGAATTTGCCCCCGGGGATCCTACGAATTACGGGTGTCTGCTCGGCAACAACATTGAAGACTGCATATAATCTTTCAGGAAACATGTACATTGCTTTTATTAACCAGTGGAGATACTTTTCGAGAATACGGTAAAAGGTAACACTGAGATAGCAAATGCGAAAAACCAAAAGATTGTTGTTTTCACCTTGCCGGGTCCGGTCGTCAAATGCAGGATCTAGGTGAACTGAGTCTTATTTTGCATAAAGGCAGGGGAAAACAAATGTTTCTCGTTCCTACTTAGTTGAGTTTGACTGACTCTCTTCATCAGCTTGGAGTGCCAGAAATCTACAGAGAAGCGAGGTAACAACGCGAATAATGTCTCCATATCGAGTGGCTGTAATGGGAAGCATTTCATTCTATTTCGTCTAGGAAGTACAATGAAGACGAAAATCAGTCGCCATCGGTAGAGTGTACAGCAGCTTTGAAGTTTAGAAATGTGATTGCTTTTGTTGCCTACATGATTTTATGGACAGGAGAAACCAAAACGCTATTGAATGCGATTTGCGTGATTCCTGGTTTCACGCCAAATGCATAAACACGAAGACCACTAAATACAATGTATTATGCGACGAATCTTTGACTTGGGAATGTTTGAGTTTTTTACATCCCGGGTTTGGTACACTAGTCCGAAGTACTCATTAATCGTCCACACCTGTTGAAGAACACAAGAGAAATGTAGACTTCTGCACGACCTCGAATCCTGGATTAAAGAAAAGAAAGATGAAAGTCGCTCGTGTATAGCCACCTCACTAAGCACTCTGCTGATGTGGCTGTTTTTCTAGAAAATACATTTACTGATGTGTTTGCAATGATTGGATCGTCTCTGGCAGTCAAGTTATACATGTTCTACGGTTTATGTTGTTACATAAAAGATTGAAGTCGAAACGGCGTTGGATGTGTGGTGTTTGTCTCAAGTATGTGGCCTTTGCAGCTTAACTCCCCCCCTATATTAATTCGCCGTGACCATATTATGAAATTGACATCAAACAGGTATCAAGCTATTCTACCAGTTAAAGGCCATTTAAATGGAAATTCGTTCATCGAAACGAAGAGGAATTTGGGAAATTAATATCATGTATAATAGAACGTTCGTGGTAAGAAAGTTAATCCTCGCGCGCCGGCTTCTCTTTCTGTTACAAGTGTGACGATTTAACATTGGTCAGGCCAGCATATAACATTTTAAATGGCAAGGTAAAGGATCTTGAATGAAGAGTGTTTGTCTTCCACAAGGCAGTGATTGCAACTGTAGCAAAATAGCGATAAAGTTCATCCTTTTTACTTTCCCTTTTCAATGATTTTGAAACAACGTTTCCACTGCATGGGCACGTAGCATTGAGAGAAATTTCTAATCGTCGAAACAAATGAAAGAAAGAGATGGAACTGCATCTGGAATGAAAAGGTAATGAGGCCACTATTTCGTATTTTTAATGTTACAATAATTATTATTATTTGGCAAACTCTTGGCCATTTGGCTTGTTTTCCCGTCGACTGTTTTATTTGCATGAATAATGAGGGCGTCTGTAAGACATTTGATTTAATGAGTGGAAACTTTTAAGCTGAATATCGGGAGACGCGCGTACATACATTGCTTACTCTAAGAATAAAAATCCGGATACACTTTACCGAAATAAAGTCCATTCGAAAGTAATATGATAAACGGTAAATGAACGATTGTGAAAACTCTCCTCGTTTTGAGATGTCTCCTAAAATTGATTCAAATCGTAGTATGATTTATATCGTAAAACATGTATCGTAGAATATGATTTTTTGTATTTCGCTTTTGATACAGTTGTATTAAGAGTTCAGTGTTGATATGGATTTAGCAAAGTCGCAATTTGTCGTGAGATGTGAATTTCCACCAACATATTAACCGTTTTTAACATCAGTAGTCTGTCTGACAATGAAACTCTGGGTAGAGACAGGGGGCCTTAAATTCTGGTTCGCAAAGAGCCAATAAACTGCAGTTTCAAAAACTGACTTTCTTCATATTAGAAATTCAATGTGGTAAAATGCCTCTACAAAAGAAGCAAGTTATGCTGTTCCAGAAGAAAACATGGAATCCGGCTTTGCTTTCAAAAATCTTATAAAAAAGTACATGATCGAATGAGGGTAAATATTATTTAGCAGGGTTATGCATCCGAGGGTTACTTTCCAAGGAGGAATATGTCGAGAACACGGCAACGACGGAACGCCATAGGGTCTTGCAAGGTCCCAAAAACGCTTCAAAATATTGTAAATGTTTACGACGGACGTTCAGTAATTCCTTAGTTCACTAAAGTGCTTCTTAATGCATAAATTTGAAATTAGCTTTTTAAAGATGTAATAAATAATTTCACCTGCTGAGTTACTCATTTAGGGTGAGCACCGTATTGTTCTGGCGACGGCGACTGGCTATGGATGAAAATAATTGTATTATTTCGCAGTTCCAGCGATTTTTTTAGCTGCCTTAGTACTCAAAGAAAGAAAGTTATACTTGTTAGGTTTATTTCAGTGCTGGATAATTTTTACCGAATTTCCATTTGAAAGCCCCAGGTTAAGTCTCAACAATATAATCGGCCCGAATTCAGTCTAGAGCATAGGCTGAGTGGGCTGTTCCGGAAAAGGCAAAACTCAATGATTCCTTGAAAGCATGAATGCCTGGCGAAGTTATGACAATAATTGAACGTATATATTTGCGAGGATACATAGGATTAGCTAAGGATTTGATGACTGTAATGTAGATTCTCTTTAGAATTCAAACTTCCAACTTTTTTTTTTACTGCTTCGCATGTTTATTTCTTTGTTCTTTGTTTCTCTTTGATCCCTCAAAAGTTGTAGCGAGCGAGTATGTAGGCTGACATCCCTTGTTTAGAATTGTGTAAGTATAATTTTGCTTAAGTTACATGTACCACATTGCAACATGAAAATTTAATTGAATGGCGTTTGAAAATGCTTAGGCTTAAGCTTTCAATAATGGTGTTCTTAGGAATGCTGACAACCATTCCAAATAGGGAATTTTGAGATTATCGATTCTTGACATGAATGCAGTTGAGGCAAGGTGGTGTACTTTGGAGTGAATTCATTACGATAGCCAATTTACGTTATCAACTCAGTTGATAGTACTAAATTACCTAATTTACCATAGTCCAAGCAAATGAACTCTATTTCACTATAAATTGCCCTGTTATATTCCCCCACCGACGCAGCACCGCAGTATCTTAGAAACTTAACCCCTGTCTAGTGGATTAGACTGGTTTGGAATAAATTGTCTTGACGAATCTGCCTGAAGTACTTTAAAATTTAAACTAGTAGATTGGGTTGGATTGGTGAGGGTCAGGAAGAGCTAACTTGAATTTCGTATGTTGAATTAGAGAGGATTTGGGTTCGATTAAACTGTATTAGAGTGCATTGGAGTAAACTGAGATGAGTTTCGCCGGCTTTTCCACGCACAAAGTTGTGGAAGTAAAGCTAAGGTTACATTCATTTTACTGCACAATCAAATAAGATATCTTGCAGCAATAAACACAAGTATTCTTTGCCTAACTTGAAGCCTATGGAAAAAAAACTTTTACTTGATAAATTTAAAAGGCTAACCTCCGTTTATGTTTCGTCTTAAATTAGGGTTTTATATGCATGTTTTAAAAGATTCTATAAAGAAAGGAAGGATTTTTTTCGTTTTGTTTTTATGATGGCTTCCGGAACAGTTTGTTTAGAATGTTTATAGCCTGTTCCCAGGATTTATTTCTCGACGATTTATGATTATAGTCTTTTGTTGTTTCGAGCACAATTTGTATTTCCTGGAAACAAATCCACGTTCGTTGTCGATGCTGGTGCCTTCAAGTGCGCCTCCAGCTCATTTACGCTCATTTGTGTCTGGTGTAGCTGCTTTTTGTCATAATGATTGTTGCTCATCACTGCAAAGGACTCGGCCTTTTCAGTTTTCCATAAGTTTCCAAAGATCCTTCCGGGCTCTTTCCACACACAGCATCCCGCCGTCCAAACAGCCGCAGGAGTTTCAAGTCTCACTCTTCTTCGTCCCACTGTAAATGTGTTCGTAACTTGCGGCTTCGGTACAGCATTAAGGCCATTTTCAGATCTGCCTGTCAGTAAGTAAAGGGTTCCTTGGCGGGTTTGGCTCCCACAGGTAATTTTGGCATAATCGTTTATCTTTTTCTCAAACTCCTGCCAAAGTCCGTTGTTTGATGTGTCAAACTGAGGTACAGCATTCGTAAGAGTGAAAGTAGCCCTCATGAAATTTATGTCAAAGGAGTTGATACCTGAGGGATTCATATGGCCTCTGGTAAGTTCATTCCTGAAACTGCGTATGGCTTCTCGGTTGGCTTGTTTATAAGCATCATCGAGACCAGGAACACCTATAATCATGAGCCACAGTCATCCATGAATACGGATAACTTCTCACATTTAAATAACCAATTCATATTCTTATGAATACGATGACGATGGTAGTAATATTTTGTTGTTTCTCACCATGATAAAATTACTAGTTAAAGACTGAAAGTGATCTTTGAACATTCCAGGGAACCATGTCGCTTTTTTCTTTTTATCTCTTTTCTGAAATTACAGGAGTATGAAGCCCTCTGACTGCACATTTCTCTTTGCAAAAAAAGGCTTTGCTAGGAGCATACGAGTAAAGAGGCCTTTAAGGGGTTAGTACTTCTATTGAGAAACCCTGCGGAAATAATTTAGGAAGTGGAAATATGATGGCTTTCCCCACTTCTAAATAACGTTGTGTGTTTATAGCAACGCAGGGTATGCTCCAAGCCTTTGTATTTGTTTCATGGAATGATTGTCGTCCAATCGGTCTTGAAGTAAGTAATTGTTAAATAGCCATTTACGTACCTGGAGGATCACTCCAACGTTGTCTAAGTCTCCTATGCGTGCCAAGTTTCGCTGCCTGCTCGGGTAAAACTTTGTAGGCTGAGTAAAAAGGAGTGTTTGTGGTAGGATCAAAGAGAGAAACAAAATACGGGGGCGTTCCTTGCTGAATTTCTGTCCCTCGATTAATGTCAGGAAGGCCAACTGGACGTTTGTCTCCAACGAAAAAAGGGGGAACGGTAGGTCCGCCCCAGAGAAATCTTTTTCTTTCATTTGGCGATTCCTCTGAAGGAAAATCACAAATAATCGGTTACAATATTGCAAAGCAAGCATAGGGTAGTCTCATCGGTTTAATTTAACTACTTAACTGAATTAATTTGATCGATCATGCAGTTAGATCGATGACAGTGACCTAAAGCTATGACAATTGAGCTGTATCATCATCAGAGACGAGGGATACCTTATCTGTCAGTCGGGTCTTTAGCTTATCCTGGTTTTGTGAAGCTAATTGGTTACTTTTATCTGGCTGCTTTTTGTGGGAAGACTCAACAACAATAAAAACCCATGTATAACTTAAAACTAAAGATCCTCTTTGGTAAAATTTCCCCTTTATCCTTTTAACTCCCGCGAGTGACCCCCACAGAATTTCTCCTTACAATATGTATACAATATCATGCAGAGAAGTGAGGAGAATAAAGGAAAACATAAATCATGGGATTATTAATTGATCCGATACTAAATTCTCCAAACATAATGATAATCAATTGACAGACAGTAGGGAGAAATACTAATGAGATCTTGGGTGTTAAAGGGTTAAGCACTCTTCACATAATAACCATTAAGGTTAAAATTTCAATACAGGTTTTTACTGTTAGAATATAGAGATTTTTCAAATATGTTACAGTACATTACATTCGTTACAAAAAGGGCAACAAAAACTAGCCAGAACACTGGCAGTGTTACAAGATCACAATACTGTACTGTCAATACATCCATAGGTGTGCAACATATCCGACTAACTACAGGGCACTATATGAGGTTGGCATACAGCACAGTGTGACACCCAACCCACTAATAGAGGTTTCCCTTTTTTTAAACAAATATTAAGAACCAGATTAAGAACCAATGTTGTCTAATTTCATTGTAATCACCATTTGTCTAGGAACCTTAGACGGAGGTTAACTTAAAAAGAACCTATGTTCTAATATGCAGGTTTTTCGTCAGCTGCGATTGATTGTTTTCGAATCGCTCGGTAAGGTAGCTCGTTTTCATCGGCCTATTAGTTCTGGAAATGCTTTGATAGAGTCATCTCAGAGTGCTCGTAGTTTGTCTTAAGTAAGTTGGTGTAGGTTTAATCATTTTTGTGAACTGACAGAAGACAAACAAGATTGAAAACTTCCTTCCCAGACCACGTGGGATACTAGACGAATTTTGCAACGGCCATACATGACGCTTTAAGTTAAAATTACGACGACAAGTTCCTTGGTTTTTTATATTTTTTTCATTTAAAACGCAACACATAATCAACTCCCACGACCGCAACTCACCTTCAAGGGGAAGTGCGTAACCACGATCAGAACACATTTCTTTAAAGACGAATCTTTCAGCAATCAGTCCACAAAAAGTCAATTCATACGAGGGAATAAACAGTCTGGACGTGCCTTTTTCTTCCAGAAACAACTACACTAACCACTAAATTAGATAGAAGAGGCGGGAAACGAATGCTGATACAACTCCCAAACAGACCTGGCACAACAAGACACCATAAACTCACGCATGTAATCAATTAAAAGAAATATAAATTGTTCGTATCTACCACCGGAGTTACTTTTCGAGGATACGGTTACAGGTAACACTGAGATAGCAATGGCGAAACACCAAATGGTTGTTGTTTTCATCTTGCTGAGTTCGGTCGTCGAATGCAGGATCTAAATGAACTGACATGAGTGAAGAAACGTTCAGTAAAGGAATTAAACGGTCGTTTACTTCAACACTGTCTTGGAGTATTTAATTAGGGAATCGTAGGGCAGTATGATTCAGTGATTCATTTGTGTCTAGGTAAGTTTTGAATTTGAAGTCTTAGTTATTTGGGTTTTAGCTATTATGCAGAGATCCCTGATGTTGACAGACTTGGCTATCATTCATCAGTGGAAGTGCCTAGTTCGTCGTCTGTTCTTGCCCAAGACCTACACTACTAGAGTTCCTTTTTTTTTGGCTTTCATAGTCAAAAATTGTTTGTTTGATCAGAAACGTCAGGTAAGTTGTTTTTCATTCATAAAACTCACGTGAAAGTAGGTCTGGATTCCGATACGGTCAGTTGATTCGCAAGTTAGCACTTCGGAATAACCAGAGTTAGAGTTAGCTAGAAGTGATGAGATTCAGAGTCTGCCATATAGTGATTAAAGAAAAGAGATTGAATCTATTTTAAACAGACCTGTGGCAGAGAACAGGGATTAAAGAAGAAGGTAAAGGACAGAGTTCCCGGTGTCTTCCCCTTAGCGTTGGACGTTCTTTAGCTGGATTCCACCCATCTGCGCCTTACCAATACTTTAAAATTGACATCAAACAGGTATGAAGTTATAACATCAGTTTAAAGGCACTTTGACCGGAACGAGAAGGAATGCCGGAAATTGTTATGATAGTAACACGACGTTGTAAGAAAGATAGTCGTCATGTGTCGCCTTTCATTTTTGCAACAAGCATAATGTTTTAATATGAACCTGGGTAAACAGACGTGAGTCAATATAAATTTGGTGAGGTTGGTATGTTACATTATGAATGAAAAATTTATACCGCATATTAAGTAATTGAATATGACTTAAAATATGCAGGAGACTATAATCTCAGGTTATTATCTCTTGAAAGAAGTTAACCTTCTACATGGGAATGATGGGATTTGTAGCAAAATAAGCGATAACTCCCATCCTTTTCTCGGCTTCCTCTTTCCAATCATTTTAAACTAAGATCTTCATTGTTTGGACACGTGGTATTGAGAGAAAGAACTAATTCTTTATTACTCGAAATTATTGAAAGGAAAAAATGAAACTGCACGTGGAAGGACAGGATAGCAGAGCCGCTATTTCGTGTTTTAAATAATAGAGGTCTTGTAAGGGGGTTTTTGATGTCGCTTTATCGTTCGATTGCCAACATACCTTTCCGGTCTTTTTGGTTAGGGGCAAATGTGACACTACAATTATTTTTATTCCTAGGAAAATTTTTGGCGAATCGTCTAAGTTGAAATAAATGCATGTTTTTCCTATTATGAATGATGGGGGTGTCACACAAACATTTTATTGATAAATTTATAAATGAGTGGAAATATATAAATTGATTAAACAAAATCAACATAACAACGTTTAAGGGGAGATTCGGAAGCCAATTTTTTCGCACTTTTTTTCCTAATTGATGGTGGAACGTGTTCGAATGAGCAATTGTAAAAGCTCTCCTTGTATTGAAATGTCTCCTCTCAAATCAATTCCTAAAAACTAGGAAGTGCTTAGCAGTCGGTCCCAATGCTGGTCTGTTTACCTGGCAGATTCATTGTACTATCCAAGCGCAGTCTGGCTGGGACTGTTCATTTCCTAATTCTGTTCCTCTATTGGAGGGGTTGCGTTTTTGGTTTCTTAATATTGAGACATTTAACGGTTATGGGATTCGGCCAAAGTTCTCCCCCGGAGCAGTTATTTTCTGCGACGCCAGCGACTATTCTTTTGGCAGTTTCTAAGTTAGGTTCAACGATTAGCCTGTTAGTGGTATTTTTACCCCGTTCTGAAGCCAGCAAGCATTTCAGTTTTAGCAAGGTTTCGCAAGCCTACCTACCCAGTAGGGATTACTGAAAGATTGTTCTCTTTGTTACCTGATACCAACAACTCCTGCTATCCAGTTGTTCACAGGATTGTTAAATCTTAATTATCCGAGAAACTCCACAAGTCGTTAGGAATTAGTTACTCAACTGTCTTGAGTGACTTTCGATCTCATATTTCTCCGTTTATTTCTGATGCTCGTATGTATAGCACCCATAGCATTAGAATTGGTGGAGCTAACGATCTGGGTTCCGGTCTCTTGACTCTGTGCTGGTTCACCGACATGTAGGTTGGAGGAATCCTAAATCTAAGTTTCGGTATCATGAGGCTCTTCCTGAGAATTTTGTTGAGGTCACTCGCTCTATATCTAGTATATCTAGCTGTTAGGGTCATCCAGGCCTTTAGTCTCTCGTTCAATTTCTGACAGAACCCAGCAGGTTGGGAAGTGCTGTCCATAGGGCCGGGATTATTCCCCGTTGTTTCTTCAGCGGGCGCGTTAGGGTTTTTTCATCCTATGGATGCTCGTCGGTGCTTCCCTAGTTTCTATTTAGTCTAGCCTATTTTCTTTTGTCTGCACTTATTCCGTGTGGTTTTTCGGTAGGATGCTTGCCTCAATGTATTTTGCTGCATTATTGCTTAGAACCAAGTTTTTCTTTTGCACGAGCTGGGACACCCAGCGCCTGGGGGTTGTTTTCGTGTGCTCCTGTTATAGCTGTGCTTACACTCTTTATCATGTTTATTTGTTTGTTATGAATAAACAGTGTTGGTTGCCCGCTACACATTCATTATTCTCCATGAAAATAAATGAATAATGCCATAATGAAATTTAAGCAATTCGACAATCATGCTTTAAGTTGTGACATACCTCTGACTCATAAATATCAACATGAATTTTTGGTTACACAATAAAGATTGGAAGGTGGAGGAATTAAGAGAATTTTGTCCAATTAAGTTTCAAATGTGTAAAAATTGAAAGAATTTGTGTAGGTGCATGCCCTTACTGCAGTGATTAATATTTAGAGAATACTCTTCCAGTGTACAAATGATTACACAGTGTCTTTGATAACTGTACATATTTCATTTTCTCCTCAAATTTCTTGGAAAAAAAAATTTAAGACAGTCAAGAAAGAAAAAAAAAACAAGTTACAATTATGGAATTGGGGAAATTATGAACTTTACCATTTGATAGAAAGACAAGATCACAGAACACTAGAAGGGAAACTAGAATTGTGCAAGCTAATATCCTCCTTTGCTTTGCATGTATCTGGTCGAACAAAATTTCAATCACTTATAGGATTTTTGTACATTGTGTATAACCAATAAGAAGATTTGCTTCTTCTCAGCTGTCAGGTTAATCAAAGATTTCTCCTGAATTTTTATTGCCCTATAGTATTACGGTATAACCTAACCGACAGAAAAACACCACAATCCTACAAACTCAACTACTTTATTAAACAGCGAGTGATGTTCTGAACAAGAAAGGACTCCTAAAAGTAGTACAATACTTATCGTTAATAAACTTAATTAAGCCCACCAAAGTCTATATCCTAGCTCACCACTGACACAATCTCACTACTGTCTCCAAAGTTCCTTGAAATGAGAAATATTCCGCTGTAGGTCTCTCTCGGTATAGCTTTCAAAACAAACGAATGTGGAGTACGAATCAAATAACAAAACTATCTCATCTTCGAGGCAATATCACGCTGGTATTTTGATTTTCGGATCGACAAGAACGGTGATCAGGTAGCGATCGCCATGTTTACCTCATAAACGTGACCGCTGACCAGCCGCTGAGTGAAAACAGTATAGCGCGGGGTGGGGTGGGTGGCGGGCTTATCGTCATAAGATATTCGAATACATTCTTTAAAAGCTTCAGGACTCCTAGTCGAAACAGTGAAGGCATACTTCGTGGTACAGAAAAAGGACCCCCTGAGTTTTTTTTAGGAGTTTAACTGTGATTTGTTTATAACTATGATAATCGTCATTATTAGCAGACGGTGCTTTTCACCCATTGTTGTCATCATTATCGTTATTACGCCGGAAGAAGTATAAAGCCGGCACGTTGCCTTACCTAACTACACAGAAATTGTTTTCTCTTTTTCTTCCTTTGGGTCCTGGAAACTGTTTCTATTAAGAAGATCAACAAGAAAGCCTTAATAATATCTGAAATTTTTGATTAACAGAATGTAAGAAAAAATCGGTAGGGAGAGTAATTCGCGTATCTTTTAATCTGAACGATAGTTTTCAATAAAAGAAACACCACTCAATTCAATTTACCTCAGTTGTCTCGTGTTTAAAATTGGCGTGCCTGGGGACCATAGATTCTTCTCTGATTCTTCTTGTATCAACCAAGAATCACTATCCTCAACGTTTTTTTTGTGCTTCTTACGGCATGGAACACAGAGAGCTGAGGTAAGCGATTGCAAATTTCTCAGTCAAAATGAAGCCTAGCAGCATCCATCAGGAATTGAAAAGCGACATACACTGTTTACTTTAATTATTCTTAATCAAATAAGGGGTGTTTAGTCTGCAAATTTAATCATACTAGTTAATGAGGATCATAAAAACTGAGGAAAACTGACCGCAAATAATTATGAACCGTACGCATGAATAAGTGTATTGCGTTGTCAGGTGATTTGATCTTCTACAAAAACATTATTGATTATCAACCAAACCATTGTTCATATTTCCACCTGCAATTAAGCACTAACACATGGATCTATGTTTCTTCAACATAATGTGTACTTAAGTACCCTTAATCTAATAAAGAGTTTCTTCTATTTTCAAGCAGATATGTCACGGGACAAAAATAGATAACAGACAATGTTACCGAAGACTACCTGATGCAACTGAAATAATAACTCCAAACAGCTTTTGAATGTCCTGAGACATATGCAGAGTAATCACATCTCTGCCTTGGATACGCTTCCTGACACCATCATGATCAGGATACTGAGATGTTACTTTGCATTTCTCCAAAACTTCCCCAAAGTGTGGCGATGCCTATAGCAAATCCACAGTTTTTGTTTATCCTCCTGAGCGAGGTGAAATAAGCCAGTACTTGCCAAGATTAGCTCATTTTCACTTAAGACCTCTTTAGACAGGTGGCAGCTTATCAAATGATGTTTTTCTTCATAATTACATTCAGACGGTCGTACCAAACCACTGAAGCCACGTGATGAACCAAAGTTTTTTCCATCTTTGCTATTCAAAAAGTAGTCCTGAGACATAATGAACGTCTCGCTAGCGAACGACTTCTTCCAGTACTTGTAATTGTTTCCAACGCGATAGAAGTTCGGGAGATCTAAAGAAACTCACTATAACTTTGTATACTCGATACGATTTCAATTTCCGCGCCAAAGGCGAAGGTTACTGTAGTTCGTGAGTGGTCAGTGGTTACGCTCGTGAGGTAAAGAATGGGTTTGTTACTTTTTCACTCAATTGAAAAGACTTGCGTCACTCTTATGAAATGGTTAACGGAATACAGACTCCGAGCAATCTCTTATTTTTCTTAAAGGAAGTGAGGTCACGTGTATCCTGTGAGCATGGAGAAGCCGCGAGACGCGACACTTGTGTCTCATGTCTTTGCCGCTACACGCTCTCAGAGTTGGGCAAAGACAAGACATGTTACTTCTGATGCGATACAAGAGGTTCAATGGTTAACTCGATTATCTAAACATATTTATTTACATGGTAAAGATTTATTTAGAAATCTATGAATTGATGCCAGTCCTATTTGGAACGAAATGTAATTGAAAGGTTAAAGAATACTAAGCAAAACAAAAGTTGTCTGCAACACGAAGCATGCCTTCGCTTTAAGACTGAGAGTCCTAATGCTTATTAAGATTTTTTTAATGCATATGTTCGAATGTTCCCAAAAATCTTCTGATGATCTGCCCGCACCCACCCCACACCACGCCCCTCACCACTGAGCCGTACTGTTTTCACTTAGTGGCTGGTCGGGCCGCAAAGTTCTTTTTCTGTAGTTACCTTTTCTATGGCACCTACTTCCTAGCTATGTTAGTTGGATCAGTTAAGAACGCCTCACTTTTTCAAAAATTTACTTTGAATTTGATCGATTTTGGCGTGTGTGACTTAGGCGAACCGATAAGGTGTCATTCAAGTCTTCCTGCTTACTTGCTTGATTGACGCGTGATGTTCACGAAAGTCGCCTCGATAGATAAGATAGAGCAATATACATGGCTGGGGTATTTGTTTTTTTTCTGAGTTCCGTAGTTTTTTGTAAATTGTCCTCCAAAGTTGTCTAAATTAAAGTCTTGAACTGAAAAGTGTCACGACAAGCCTTCGCTCGAGTGAAATTTAATTTCCGTAAACTCTGAAAAAATTAAGAGATCTGATCAAACGAATTGTGATTTTAGTATAGATACATAAATATCTTACAACACACAAGAAATGAGCGAAATCCGTGTCTCAAGCAAAATCAAACGGACCGCTCTTGCAGAGACACTCTATTAAGAAGGTATCGGGGTGGACACAAGTGGACTAGAGTTTAGTTGCTTGAATTTTAGAGAATTAGGTAATTTCGTATTATCAACTCAGTTGATAACGTAAATTAGCCGCCGTAATGAGTTACGAAGCTGACGTTTCGAGCGTTAGCCCTTCGTTAGAGCGAATGACGAAGGGCTAAGCTTTGAAACTCGTTACGATGGCCAATTTACGTTATCAACTCAATTGATAATACTAAATTACCTTATCCACTATAATCCAAGCAAGTGAACACTATTTCACTTGAAATTGACCTTTTATACTCTCTCATAGACGCAGCACCGCAGTTTCTTAGAAAGTTACCCTTTTATAGTGGATTAGACTGATTTGGAATAAATTGTTTTGACGAATTTGGCTGAAGTACTTTGAAATTAAAACCAGTAGATTGGGTTGGATTGTAGAGGGTCGGAAATGGCTGGCTAGAATTTCTTATGGTGAACTAGAGTGGAGTTGGGTTGGATCAAATTGTATTAGAGTGCAATGGAGTGGACTGAGATGAATTTCGCGAGCTTTTCTACGCACAAAGTCCTTCAAGTAAAGATCCCATCCATTTTATTGCACAATCAACTAAGATATCTTGCTGCATGCAATAAATACAATTATTCATTACCTAACTCGAAGCCCATGGCAAATAGGCTTTTACTTGACGAATTTTAAATGCTCACATCTACTTATGTTTCCTCTTAAATTAAGGTTTTACATCCATGTTTTACAGGGGTCTGTAATGAAAGGAACGAATTTTTTGGTTTTGTTTTTATGACGGTCTCTAGAACAATTTCTTTAGAATGTTGGAGCCTGTTCTCATTATTTATTTCTGGACGATTTGTTATGGTAGGGGATGGTAGTTTTTAGCACAATCTGGATATCCTGGAAACAACTTTACTTTCGTTGCTGCCGTCAAGTACCTCTCCAGGTCAGGTACACTCATTTGTGTTTGATGTAGCTTGGTTTTATCATAATGATTGTTGCTCATCACTGCAAAGGACTCTGCTCTTCGCCTTCCGGTCACCTTCCACACACAACATCCCGCCGTCCAAATAGCTTGAGGAGTATCAAGGTGTATTGTTTTAGTTGCCACTTTAAATGTATTGGTAATGGACGGCTTCGTTACGCCCTGGAGGCCATTTTCGGATCTGCCTGTCAGTAGGTAAAGGGTTCCTTGGCGGGTTTGACTCCCACAGGTAGTTTTGGCATAAATTCTTATCTTTTTCTCAAAAAACTGCCAAGGTCCGCTGTTTGATGTCTGAAACTGAGGTACAGCATTCGCAAAAGTGAAAGTAGCTTTCATGAATTTTGTGTCAAAGGAATTGATAGCGCAGGGGTTCATATGGCCTCTGGCAATTTGTTCACCCTTGAACTTTCTTTGAGCTTCTGCGTTGGCTTGCATATAAGCATCATTGACACCACGAACACCTATAATCATAAGCCACATTCTTCCATGAATACAGATAACTTCTCACATTTAAATTATCAAATCATATTCTTCTGAATACGATGACGATGATGGTAATTTTTTGTCTTTCCCAAGATGATAAAATTACCAGTTACATAAGTTCGATCTTTGAACATTCCAGGGAATCATGTCGCTTTTTTATCTCTTTTCTGAAATTACGGGAGTATGAAGCATTCTAATTGCACTTTCGTTTCTCTTGAAAACATAGAGATTCTGTGCAAAACAAGGGTTGTTTTTCGGAAAAAAAAATAGGAAGAAGCAATATAATGGCTTTCCCCACTTCTTTAGTGACGTTGCGTGTTTTTAAGTAACGCGGGGTATACTCCCAGCCTCTGTATTTGTTTTATGGATTGATTGTGCTCCAATCGGTCGTGTAATAAATAGTTGTCAAATAGCCATTTACGTACCTGGAGGATTCTTCCAATGTGTATTTTTGGGTCTCGTATGCTTGCCAATGTTCTTTGCGTGCCCGGGTAAAACTGTGTAGGCTGAATAAAAAGGAGTGTTTGTGACTGGATCAAAGAGAGATACAAAAGAAGTGGGCGCTCCATGTTTGAGTTCTTTCCCGCGATTAATGTCAGGAAGGCCAACTGGACGCTTGCCTCCAACGAAAAAAATAGGCACATGAAGTCCGCCCGAGAAAAATCTTGTCCCTTCATTTGGCGATTCCTCTGAAGGAAAAGTACACATAATTGGTGACAGAATTGCAAAGCAACGATAGGGTAGTTTTATCGGATTAATTTAACAACTTAACTAGAATTAATTTAACAGATTACGTAGTTAGATCGATGGCAATAACCTAGAGTTACGACAACTGAGTGGTATTACCATCAGAGACGAGGGGTACCTTGTTTGTCAGTCGGGTCTTAAACTTATTCTGGTATTGTGAAGCTAATTGATGAATTTTATCTAGATGCTTTTTTGTGGGAAGACTTAACTACAGTGAAAAACCCATGTATAACAACCTAAAATTTAAGAAAGTGTTTGGCTAAAATGTTTTTGTCGACTACCCTTCGCATAGAACCGTTTTAGGCTAAAATCTCAATACAGGTTCTTATTTTTAGAATATAGAGTTTTTTCAAATATATTACAATACATCATATGCGATACAAAAAGGACAACAAAAAATAGCCTGAACACCGGCAGTGTTATAAGACCACAGTACTGTGCTGTCAATACATCCATAGCTGTGCAACATATCCGACTGTGTGTACAAGTTAACCATGTAAAGCAGGGTAATATGAGGCTGGCATACAGCGCAGTGTCACACTTACGCCCACGAAGAGAGGTTTCCCTTTTTTAAACAAATATTAAGAGCCTGATTTAGAAGCTAAGTAGTCTAATTTAACTGTAAACACCATTAATATAAGAACGTACGGAGGTTACCGTAAAAAAACCTAGGTTACTATATGCGGGATTTTACTGTAGTTTTCGTTAGCTGCAATTGATTGGTTTTAGAATTGCTGTGTAAGGTAGCTCGTTTTGATCGGCCTCTTAGTTCTGGTAATGCTGTGAAAAAGTCATATCAGGGCGCTGTTAGCTTGTCTTAAGTTAGTTGATGCGGGTTTAATTTCCTTGGAGAACTGATAGAAGTCAAAGAAGATTGCAAACTTCCTTTTAAAGACCACGTGGTCATACTAGATGAATTTTTCAACGACCAGACATAAAGTATAAATTAGGACAACAAGTTCGACCATTTTTTTTTTCATTTAAAACGCAACGCATAATCAACTCCCACGACCGGGACGCACGTCATGGGAAAGTGCGTAACCATGACCAGAACGCACTTCTTTAAAGACAAATCTTTCAACAATCAGGCCACAAAAGTCATTCATGCGACGAAAAAACAAGTCTAGACGTGTCTTTTTCTTCGCAGAAACAATTTCATGAAGCCTAAATTAAATGGAAGATGCGGGAAACGAATGCTGAAACAATCCCACGAGAGACCTGACGCAACGAACAGATACCGTAGACTCACGCATGTAATCAATTAAGAGACATGTAAATTGTTTGTATCTACCAGTGGAGTTACTTTTCGATGACACGGTAACGGCTAACACTGAGATAGCAATTACTAAACACCAAACGGTCGTTGTCTTCATTTTTCTTGGTCCTGTCGTCTTATGTAGGATCTAGATGAAGTGACATGAATGAAGAACTGTTCAGTGAATTGCTTAGACAGTCGTTTACTTCAATACTTCAATCATAAGGTAGTAAGATTCAGTGATTTATTTGTGTCCAGGTAAGTTTTGAATTCGAAGTCAGAAGTTATTTGGGTTTTAGTTATAACGATGTCCAGGCTATAATTAGCGATTTTTGAATTCGAGAGAATCTATATTCAGACCTGTTACTTGGGATCAAAGAAGAACTAAAAGGACAGAGTCTCTGGTGCCTTCCTTTTATCGTTGGAGGTTCTTTAGCTAGATTCCACCTATCTGCGTCTTACCATTACTTTAAAATTGACATCAAACAGGTATCAAGTTATAACATCAGTTTAAAGGAATTTAAATGGGAATTCGTTGAACGGAACGGAAAGGAATTCCAAAAATTGTTATCGTAGTAACACGACGTTGGTAAGAAAGATAGTCTTCTTGTGTCGCCCTACATTTTTGCAACAAGCATATTTTTTAATATGAACCCGGCTTACTAAACATGGATTAAGACAAATTTCGTCAGGTTAGTATGTTACATTATGAAATTACACAGCTTATTAAGTAACTGAATATGACGGAAAATAAACAGGAGATCATAAACTCAGGCTATTATGTCTTGAAGGAAGTTAACCTTCTACATGGTAATGATGGAATTGTCGCAAAATATACGTTAACTTTCATCCATTTTTCCTTCCCCTTTTTTTATGATTTTGAACTAAGGTTTACAATGGTTGAAGGTGGTAAGTTTCTAAAGAAAGTCTGGTGCTGCGTCGGTGGGAGAGTATAGCAGGTAATTTAGTGTTAACAACTGAGTTGACAACGTAAATTGGCCACCGTAAAAAGTAAAAAAAGCTGACCTTTCGAGCGGTAGCCCTTCGTCAGCAATAGACGAAGGGATAACGCTCGAAAGGGCAGCTTTTTGAACTCTTTACGGCGGCAAATTTAAGCTTTCAACTCAGTTGTTAACACTAAATTACCTTTTCATTGGTTGGACACGTAGCATCGAGAGAAAGAACTGAATTCTTTAATACTCTAAATTACTAAAGGAAAAATTAGAACTGCACGTGGATAGACAAGATAATGAAGCTGCTTTTTCGTGTTTTTAATAATAGAGGTCTTCTAAGGGGGTTTTTGTGGTCGCTTGGTCGATAGTTTGCCAACACACTTGTCTGGTCTGTTTGATTAAGGACAAATGTGACACTAGAATTATTTCTATTCCTTAGAAAATTTTTGGTGAATTGTCTGAGTTGAGATTATTCTTTTCGCTAGTAGGAATGTTGAGGATGTCATTGAATCATTTTATTCATAAATTTGTAAATTAGTGGAAACATAAACTGACTAAACAAAGTCAACATAGAAACAACATTAAAGTAGAGATTCGGAAGCTAATTTTGTTGCACCTTACCGAAATAACATATTTGAGCGAACAGTTGTAAAACTCTCCTCGTTTTGAAAAGTCTTTTAAGTCTTAAGTTAATTTAAATCGTAGTATGACTTTGCACTTTGTTTTTAACACAGGTGTGAAACGAGGTGTGAAAAAGGTGTGAAAGTGCGTCAAGAGATAGTACCGTTTGTAATTACCGCGACCTGTGTGGCATAGACACTGAGGAAATAGAATAGAAATATCTAAAATAGAAACATCTCAAAATAAAAACATCTAGCACACGAAGAAAAGTTTATAAAATACGACTTAAAAAACGTACTTTCTTCGTAATGCAACTTACTTGAAATGTGGCACAGATTTTCATTAAAAAGGAAAGGGGAAGTGTGGTAGTTCTAGAACAAAACAAGCTATCCGACTTTGTTTTAAAGATCACTAATTATATATAGATTTCAATAAGTGGCAGGGTTATGCATCCCATGGTAACTTACCAAGAGTGATAAGTGGCGATCACAGCAATAACGGAAAGCCGAGGAGTCGTGCTGTAGCTCGAAGCGAGGGTTCAATATATTGTAAACGTTTGCGACGGACGTTCGGAAATTCTGTTGTTCTAGTGTTCTTCATTAATAGATGACTTTGACATTAGCTTTTGAAAGATGTATGAAAGTATTCCACCTGCTTGAAGAACTCATTTAGGCAATCACTCATTTGAATTAGGAACTGAGCAATGTATTTTTCTAACAACAGGCTATGGATTAAAATAGTTATGCTATTTTGAAGTTTCAGAAACGCAGCAATTGCGTTTCTTTAATTTGGACTTAGGAACGAGGAAAGTCAGGTAGGGTTAGGCTAACGTGTTACACCCTCGACCCCAACTTTTTCTGAAGCAATCTAATGTATTTTCATGAATTACTGATGTCTATTGTTCGAATTCCTAGTTGGTTAAATAGCAATAAACCTAGTAACTCTTTTTGTTACTTTGATTTTCATGCTTTTCGATATTAGTAAAAAGGAATACTCTTAGGAATGGTCGTATCAAGAAAAAGGAATGTAAAAAAAATCTATTTTTAGACATGGGCTCTTTTGTGTCTTCGTCTTCAAAAGTATCGTAAAGAGCAAATAAGTTTTAATTGATTGATCCAAGTAAAAACTAAATCCAAACCCTGCAGTTTAAACCACGTTAGAGGAGAAAAGAGGAGGTTTCTATTGCTGTGAGAAATTTTGAAGATATAAGCGAACCGGATTTCCATAAATATTCGTCAATAATTTTAAAAGGTCATTCGCCAGGTTTTGAGATGAATAGGTACCTGTTACTACCAGATGAGTAAGGAAATGAGGGTGGAACTTGTGCTAGGCTCTGAAGTAGGTTCAGAATGTCCAAATGGGCTGTCAGTATTCTTAAAATTAAAATGATTTTAAGAGCCAAAAGCGTTTTGGAAAACGCTGAATTTGAAAAAAGGCAATGATTTTACGTAGTTTCTAAATTTTCTCTTAGGTCGAGAATGAGATAATTTTCAGGCTACGAGGTCAGATAACAAATAACAAATCCCGTTTTGACACAGATACTAAATTATCAGTGAAAGTTCATGCTGCTGTTTAGTTGAATAAAAGATAAAGATGGCCTTTGGAGCAATTCATCTTCTTCATACTAAACTTTCTCTAATTTGTGTCTTGCACAATGAACAGTCGTTTTCGTTCATTTGGCAATTTTTTATAGCGGCTTTTTGATACGAACGTCTAGTCTGGAAAATTTGGCTAAATACGTTATTCTATATACGCTATTAGGTTTTCATGAATGTTATCACGTTCGTATTCAACCCAACTAAAGATTGGAGCTATGTTGTGACACTTTGAAGTTTATCGATCGACGATTTTCCCTAGAGTTTGATTTATTAAAGTAAATTTAGCAGATAGAAAGTAAAACTAGTTCGTCCACGTATAAAGTCATACAAATAAAGTTGCATTCATTTTATAGCATAATCAACTAAGATAACTTGCGGCAATGAATAAAAGTATTCATTACCTAACTCTAAGCATACGGCAAATAGGCTTTTACTCGATCAATTTAATTGCTAATCTACAACTATGTTACGTCTTAAATTAAGGTTTATATGTATGTTTTAGTGGGTCTACAATAAAAGGAACGAATATGGTGGTTTCTAGAACAGTTCCTTGAGAATGCTTATAGCCTGTTCCCAGTATTTATCTCTCGGCGATTTATGATTATAGTCTTTTGTTTTTTCGAGCACAATTTGTATTTCCTGGAAACAAATGCACGTTCGTTGTCGATGCTGCTGCCTTTAAGCGCTTCTTCAGGTCAATTACGCTCATTTGTGTCTGGTTTAGCTGGGTCCTGTCATGATGATCATTGCTTATCACTGTAAATGTGCTCGTAACGTGCGGCTTCGGTACGCCATTGAGGCCATTTTCGGATCTGCCTGTCAGTAAGTAGAGGGTTCCCCGGCGGGTTTGGCTCCCACAGGTAATTTTGGTATAATCTCTTATTTTTTTCTCAAATTTCTCCCAAGGTCCATTGTTTGATGCCGCAAACTGAGGTACAGCATTCGCAAGAGTGAAAGTTACCTTCATGAAATTTGGGTCAAATGAGTTTATACCTGAGGGATTCATATGGCCTTTTTGGTAAGTTCATTCTTGAACCTACGTTTGGATTTTGTTTTCGCTCGAGCATGAGTATCGTCGACACTGGGAACACCTATAATCATAAGTCACATTCTTGGATGAATACAGATAACTTCTGTACTGAGAAACGGTGCGGGAAAAATTTAAGAAGCAGCAATATGATGGCTTTCCCTTCTTCTTTACTGACGTTGCGTGTTTTATTAGTAATGCAGGGTATACTCCAAGCCTTCGTATTTGTGTTATGGATTGATTGTCCTCCAATCGGTCTTGAAATAAATAACTGCCGAATAGCCATTTATGTACCAGGAGGATCCTTCCAACCTATGGGAGGCCCCTTATGCTTGCCAAGTTTTGCTACCAGGTCGGGTAAAACTTTGTAGGCTGGGTAAAAAGGGGTGTTTGTGGCAGGATCAAAGAGAGATACAAAATAAGGGGGCGTCCCTTGCTGAATTTCTGTCCATCTATTAATGTCAGGAAGGCCAACCGGAGGTTTTTCTACAACGAAAATAGGAGGAACAGTAGGTTCGCCCCAGAGAAATCTTTTTCTTTCATTTTGCGATTCCTCTGAAAGGAAATCGCACGGTTACAATATTGCACAGCAAGAATAAGGCGGTTTCATCGGTTTAATTTAACTAATTTCCTGAGATGAATTTGACCAATCATGTAGTTAGATCAATAACAGTGACCTAAAGTTATGACAACTGAGTGGCTTCACCATCAGAGACGGGGGTACCCTATCTGTCAGTCGGGTCTTGAACTAATTCTGGTTTTGTGAAGCTTATTGGTCACTTTTATCCGGATGCTTTTTGTGGGAAGACTCTGTTATAGTAAAAACTCAAGGCTAAAATTTTCCACTTAAGCACTCTCCACATAAGAACCATTTTATGCTAAAATTTGAATACAGGTTCTTATTTTTAGAATATAGAGTTTTTTCAAATTTATTATAGTATAATGTATTCGTTACAAAAAGGGAACAAGATCACAGTACTGTACTGTCAATGCGTCAAAAGTTGTGTAACATCTCTAACTGTTTTATCAGTCAACTATGTAAGGCAGGACACTATAGGTTTAGAATAAAGCTCAGTGTTACACCCACACCCACGAATAAAAGTCTCTTTTTTAACTGAGGGATTAAGAACCTTATTTAGAACCTAAGTAGTACAATTTCATTGTAAACACCATTTGTCAAGGAACCTTAGACAGAGGTTAACTTGAAAGAACCTTTTTGCTAGTGTGCAGGTTTTTTACTTAGCTTTCGTTAGCTGCGATTGACTGATTTCGAATCGCTTGGTAAGGTAACTCGTTTTCTTCGCCCTCTTTTGTCTAACAATGCTGTGTTAAAGTTGTCTCAGAGTGCTAGTAGCCTGTCTTAAGTTAGTTGTGTAGGTTTAATCACCTTGGTGTATTGATAGAAGTCAGACAACATTGAAAATTTCCTTTTCTTTGCCAAATGGTGACACACGTCAGGGGGAAGTGCGTAATCACGACTAGAACACACTTCGTTAAAGACGAATCTTTTAATAAATTTTAGGCTAAATTAGATGAAAGACGCGGGAAACGAATGCTGATACAACTCCTTCGACAGATCTGGCATAACGAGCAGATACCAAAAACTCAAGCATTTAATCAATTAAGAGACATATCAATTGTTTGTATCTACCACTGGAGTTACTTTTCGAGGATACGGAAACAGGTAACACTGAGATAGCAATGGCAAAACACCAAACGGTTGTGGCCATCATCTCGCCGAATCCGGTCGTCGAATACAGGATCAAATTGAACTGACATGAATGAAAAAAACGTTCAGTAAGGTGTTTAAACGGTCGTTTACTTTAATACTGTCGTGGAGTATTTAGTTAGTGAATCGTGGGGCATTATAATTTATCGATTCATTTGTGTTTAGGTTAGTTTTGAATTCAAAGTCTGAAGTTACTTGGGTTCTTGCTATTACAATGAGATCCCTAATGTTGACTGACTTGGCTATCATTCGTCTTCTCTTCTTGCCCAAGACCTACACTACTAGAGTTCCTTTTTGTTTTGGCTTTGGTGGTTGTTTGTTTCATTGGAAACGTCAGGTAAGTTGTTGTTTATTCGTGAAATAAAGGACAAATGTGACACTAGAATTATTCACCGTATTCCTCAGAAAATTTGTGGCGAATTGTCTAAGTTGAAATAAATTCTTGTTTTCTCTAGTATGAAATAAGATCGAACTGATATTGGAACGTGTACGAATGAGCAATTGTAAAAACTCTCCTCGTTTTGAAATGTCTCTTCCAAAATCAATTTCAATCGTGGTATGACTGATATCGTAGAAAGTCTTTTTGTGCGTTGTTTTTAATACAGATGTGAAACGAGATTGCGCAATTTTCCGAGAGATTTGAAGTTGCACCAACATAGTATCTGTTTGTAATAATTGCGATATGTCTGACTTAAAAACTTAGGGTAGAGGAGTTATTTCTTAAAATCTAGTACATAAAGGTAGTAAAATATAATTTAAAAAACATACTTTCTTAGTCTTGCAACTTACTTGAAATGTAACAAAATTCTTCGTAATAAAGGAAAGGGGATGTCTGGTAGTTCCATAACAAAACAAGCTATCCGACTTTGCTTTCAAAAATCAATACTAATGAATAGATTTTATAATTGGTAGAGTTATGCATCTCATGGTTAGTCACCAAGAGGTGTTATGTGGCGAACACAGCAATGACCGAGAGCTAAATAGTCGTGCTTTAGCTCTAAGCGAGGGTTCAATATGTTGTAAGCGTTTGCGACGGACGTTTAGTAATTCTGTTGTTCAATATATTGATTCTTAATGCATAACTTTGACATTAGCTTTTGAGAGATGAATTAAATTATTCCACTTGCTTGAAGAACTCATTTAGGCAATCATACATTTGAATTAGGAAAATGAGCAACGTATTGTTCTAGCCAAAGCCTATGGATTAAAAAAATTGTTATGCTATTTCGAAGTTTCAGAGATTTTTGATTTTGCAGCGATTGTGTTTAATTAATTTGGACTTAGAAAAGAGGAAAGTCAGTTATGGTGAGGTGAACGTGTTGCACCATATT